AGACCAGTCCAGGGTAGACTGAGACCAGTCTAGGGTGGACTGAGACCAGTCTAGGGTGGACTGAGACCAGTCTAGGGTGGACTGAGACCAGTCTAGCGTGGACTGAGACCAGTCCAGGGTGGACTGAGACCAGTCCAGAGTCAGTCCAGGGTGGACTGAGACCAGTCCAGGGTGGACTGAGACCAGTCTAGCGTGGACTGAGACCAGTCTAGGGTGGACTGAGACCAGTCTAGGGTGGACTTAGACCAGTCCAGGGTGGACTGAGACCAGTCTAGGGTGGACTGAGACCAGTCCAGGGTCTCAGGGTGGACTGAGACCAGTCTAGGGTGGACTGAGACCAGTCCAGGGTGGACTGAGACCAGTCCAGAGTCAGTCCAGGGTGGACTGAGACCAGTCTAGCGTGGACTGAGACCAGTCTAGCGTGGACTGAGACCAGTCTAGTGTGGACTGAGACCAGTCCAGGGTGGACTGAGACCAGTCCAGGGTCAGTCCAGGGTGGACTGAGACCAGTTCAAGGTGGACTGAGACCAGTTCAGGGTGGACTGAGACCAGTTCAGGGTGGACTGAGACCAGTCTAGCGTGGACTGAGACCAGTCTAGGGTGGACTGAGACCAGTCTAGGGTGGACTGAGACCAGTCCAGAGTGGACTGAGACCAGTTCAGTGTGGACTGAGACCAGTCTAGGGTGGACTGAGACCAGTCCAGAGTGGACTGAGACCAGTCCAGGGTGGACTGACACCAGTCCAGGGTGGACCCCGCCCCTCACACAGTGGCTGCTGGATGTGGAGCAGAGCCTAAAGGTTTACCTGAGCCAGCTTGGAGGTCAAAACGACTTTGAGTCCCAGCACTCGAACCTTCATGGGTAACATGTAGTAGTAAGCCTTCGGTCCTCTGGGTCCATGACACACTCCACCTGAGTGAAACATGAATTCCAACATTTCAAACGACAACAAGAAGATTCCTGTTTTCTTCACACAGTTTCAGGAGCAGAAACAGGTCAAAGTCACCTCCTCTCCATAGCGGTGATCGGATACTTCCTGCGCGAGCTCTTCCAGTTCCTTTCTGTCGCCATGGTTTCCTGCCTCCACCTCTGACCTCTGCCCTTGTCTTTGTCTTGGCGTAACTCTGAGACATCAAACAAACCGTTGTTGTTAGACACGACAAACAACCTCTGACTGTAACTGTGAGTTATAACTGAAGGAAACTTACAATCCGACCGTAGGTTCTCTGCCAACGCTCAACACTGTGCAGAATATCCATCCTGCAGGAGGAGAACAAGAACAGTTTGAACCTGAACCACAGCGCCACCTGCTGCCTGAAAACACTCCACTTTCCTGGGCGGCACACCGAACACGTCTGGGTGCAGCTCAGTCAGACCCAGCGGCTCGCTGTCCTGCTGCAGAGTCTCTACCCAGGTCCGAAGTGGGCTGAGGTGGGACGGGACCACAGCGTCGCACCGTCTCACCACAGGCAGGGGGCAGTCTGCAGGGGGGCGAGGACGCTCTGCGAGACACAAAGAGGTGCACAACAATGTTTTAAACGCACAAAAACCTGCGTAAGTCAAGAAGGTGTCAGGCTTACTGAGTCTGGCAGGGTCCACCAGGTTGGAGGGGAGGAGCAGGTTTGGAGGAAGGACCCCCTCTGTGGAGACTGATGAGGCAAACTGAGGAAGAGGAGGTCAACAAACACGCAATGATTCAAAGACAACACAATTTAACACAACATATTAGAAACACAGGCTGCTTTTACACTTAAACTGTTACCTGCTGCAGAGCACACCTGGATTTACTCTTTAGTTTAAGGAGCTGAACCTGATTAAACCACTGATAATAAATCAGTAGGTCTCTGGATGGTTCTTCTCTAATGAAACGTCTCATCTCTCCTCCAAGAGACTTCTTCAGTCTGATGAGTTTCAGGTGAACTCAGCCTTATAAGCTCCGCCTCCACATGGACAAACAGGTTAGTCACATGTAAAAGAGGACCATCACCTAACAATAGGCTTGATTAGTTCTATTGTTCATAGAGCAGGGGTGCCCAAACATCTTGCCTGAGAGGGCCAAGATTAAAAATCATTTTCCTTGAAAGGGCCAAAATTAAAATCAATCTGAGGG